CTAGTCCCGCCTTAGGCACGAAAGCCAGCTGTGTGACTTTGGGCCAAACACCAGGAGACGAGTTCTGGTTCTGCCTTAAGTACGAATGCCATCCGGGAGACTTTGGGCCAATCACCAGGAGACTGGGAGTTCTAGTCCCGCCTTAGGCACGAAAGCCAGCTGGGTGACTTTGGGCCAGTTACCAGGAGACTGGGAGTTCTGATACCGCCTTAGGCACGACTGGCATCGGGGAGACTTTGGGCCAATCAGCAGGAGACTGGGAGTTCTAGTCCCGCCTTAGGCACGAAAGCCAGCTATGTGACTTTGGACCAAACACCAGGACATGGGGAGTTGTTGTTCTGTCTTAAGTACGAATGCCATCCAGGAGACTTTGGGCCAATCACCAGGAGACTGGGAGTTCTAGTACCGCCTTAGGCACGAAAGCCATTTGGGAGACTTTGAGCCTATCACCAGGAGCATGGGAATTCTAGTTCCGCCTTCGGCACGAAAGCCAGCTGGGTGATTTTGGGCCAATCACCAGGAGACTGGGAGTTCTTGTCCTACCTTTGGTAATGAAAGCCAGCTGAGTGACTTTGGACGAATCACTAGGAGACTGGCAGTTCTAGTCTCGCCTTAGGCACGAAAGTCAGCTGGGTGACTTTGGGTCAATCACCAGGACACTGGGACTTCTAGTCCTGCCTTAGGCACAAAAGCCAGCAGGTTGACTTTGGGCCAATCACCAGGAGACTGGGAGTTCTTGTCCCACCTTAGGGATCACCATGAGACGGGGAGTTCAAGTTCTGACTTAAGCATGAAACTAGCAGGTTGATTTTGGGCCAATCACCAGGAGAGTGGGAGTTCTAGTCCCACCTTAGGCACAAAAGCCAGCTGGGTGACTTTGGGCCTATCACCAGGATACTGGGGTTTCTATTTCTGCTTTAGGCACGAATGCCATTGGGGAGACTTTGGGCCAATCACCAGGAGACTGTGATTTCTAGTACCACCTTAGGCACGAAAGACAGCTGTGTGACTTTGGGCCTATCACCAGGAGCCTGGGATTTCTAGTCCCGCCTAAGGCACGAAAACCAGCTGGGTGACTTGGCCTATCGCCAGGAGACTGGGAGTTCTAGTCCCGCGTTAGGCACGAAAGTCAGCTGGGTGACTTTGGCCCAATCACCAGGGAGTCCATGAGTTTTAGTCCCACATGGGTTGGATTTGTCCGCCGCCTTGAATTTATTTGTAAAATAACGAAGACAGGAGAGAAACAAATGCAAGAAAGGGTCCCTGATCAGAATCTCCTTCCCTCCAGGTTCACAGTGGACATCCGGTCGGTGCTCAGCCGCAACCTGCACCAACATCGCCTCTGGTGACAGCGGCTCCTCCTTTCTTCAGGGTTTGGACAGAGTCCTCTGCCTTATCCCTTTCACCATGCGCCGACGCCCCCCCAAAACCCACCTTCAGACTCAGTCGGCCAGGGGGATGTTAGGGGGGCGTGACTCCAATTTTGACTTCGCCCTGTGTCCATCGGCTGCCCTCTCGTGCCCCCAATATCTGGCGACTGGCAGTGACACAGCCGTGCAGAGGGGCACCATGCCGGGATGCACCAAGAAAGTGGGTGAAAATCGCACCACCTGCAGCGAGCGACGCTTGGACGGACTTCATTATTTTCTCTCCCCGCCCCCCCCAAGGATGCTGTGTTGCTCAGTGGGAAGAGCCCCTCGCCTCCTTCCCCAGCTTTCCCGTGGTGTTTCGTTTTTTCCCCATTCTCCCCCCCCCTTGCAGTCGTGGGGAGGGGGCTGCTAGCTCCACGAAGGAGCTTTCGAATGACTTCTGGGACCCCAACTCCTTTGGTGGAAGTGGGTTGGCCCTCCTGCTCAGATCAGTGCGGCGGATGGGTCCCTACCCCTCCTCCTCCTCCTGGTGCCAGGATGGCTTTGTTTTTAATTTTATTTCTCGGACTTTGGGGATGGGGCAGGGGGTCTCAGAGGAGGAGAGCCGAAACTGGCCTGGACTGAGGGGAAAAAAACGGGAGAAAAAGAAAAGCAAAACAAACAAAAAAAGGAAAGACAGTCTCTTTGGCCGTTCTTCTTGCCCAGAAGGGAGTTGGCGGAAGGTGGGCAGGGCAAGGCTGGCTGGCGGCTGGTTCCCTTTAGAGCTGGTCCTCGACTTAACGTCAGTTCATTTAGGGACCAAAGTTAACCACACAAAAAGAGATGTAAGACCATGTTTCACCCATCCCTCCTTTCTCCTCTCCCTCTTCCTCTTCTCCCTCCCTCTCCTCCCTTTTTCTCCCTCCTTTTCCTCCCTCCCTCTAGTCCTGCCTTCCATCCATCCATCCATCCATAATTCATCCTTTCTTTCCCCTCTCACTCTTCCTCCCTCCCTCCTTCTCTCCTCCCTTCCCCCTTCTCTCCTCCCTTCCCCCTTCCATCCATCCCTTTTTCCCCTCTCCCTCCATTCCTCCCTATTTCTCTTCCTTCCCTCCTGATGCAACCCAATTTGAGAGGTTTTGGCAAACTGGCTTGCACTTAGGACGGTTTGTCACGTCTCTGGTGGGGGATGGTCATGTCATCCCCTTTTGCGACCCAAAAGTCAAATGGATTCACTTCACACCGCTGTGGTACCGACTTCTATAACGTTGTTCGTGATTCAGTTTCACAAAACTTTGGCCAGGGTGGTCATAAACATGGGGGACAAAAACCGGACAACAGTCTCGCTTAGCAACAAGAAATGCCAAGGGCTCTGTTGGGGTCATAAGTCGAGGACCAACTGTGTTTCCCATCCCCAAGGTGGTCTGTCATGTGTGTTTGTGTCTGCAAAAAAGGGAATCAAGCTGGGGTGGCCTAGAGGTGGAGCTCTCCCCTCACAATCTGGAGGCTTGTGAGTTCGATCCTAGGTAAAGGCTAATGTTTGGAATAGAGAGACTCCTGCTCAAGCAGTGGAGGTTGGACTAGATGATCTCCAAGGCCCCCTCCAACTCCTGTTGTTCTGAGCAGGGGGCTTGGGCTAGATGACCTCCAAATGTACCTTCCAACTCAGGTGCCTGTGTGTTAGTGCCCCCAAATCCTTGGATGTTGATAAACCACAATCCGTGGTTGGTTGTGTAACCCCCAGATTGTGGTTTACACACATTGCAAAAAAAAAAAAAAGTGGGGGGGGTGTTTCAGGCGGAGGCTGCCATTATCATCCCCTGTAGCGGCCCTTGCCCTTGGCCCAGCAGCGCTGTGGGCAGCTTTCAACCCCGCTGGGGGACTACAATACCTATCCCAACCGAGCGCAGGAAGCAACGAGGAACGTTGTAGTCCGCCCTAGCCGCCCAGCGGGGGCAGCCTCGTCACGTGATTAGCACCTGCTGTGGGCGAGCCCCGGTAACGTCAGTCACATGATGGGATGCTGATCTCCCCGTCCTTAGTTGTGTTCTTCCGCGCCGCTTGAGCGGAAGTCGCTTTTTCAAAGGGGAGTGTTTTTTTTTTTTTGTGGGAGGGGAGCGCTTCATTCATAGCCCCGGGCTCTTTTTCCCTTGGAGCCCTTTTTGCCATCGCGGAGGGTCTGCGGACTACTTTGTATATCATGCAGAGTCACGCAACGTCCGCCAAGCGAACGGGAAAAAAACACGGCTTTCCTCCCCAGGAATCCCGGCCCGTCGTCGACGACCGAAGGCCTTTCAGGATCCCTCGCGCCACCGGACCACGAAAACAGCCGGCGGCGCCCGTTGGAGGCCCGAGAACTGTTCGGTGGGCGTGGCCGCGCCTCGCCGGGACTCCTTTCTCCCTTCCCCTCAGATCGGTGCGCCCCGTCGGTCTACCGCGCATGCGCGTTGCTTGGGTGAAGGGGGACCTCTGTCCGCCGTGTTGCTTCCTCCGTCCGTTGCCGCCGTCATGAAGTTCGTCTACAAGGAGGAGCACCCTTTCGAGAAGCGCCGCTCCGAGGGGGAGAAGATCCGGAAGAAGTACCCTGACAGGGTCCCGGTCAGTCTCTAGAGAGACGTCCACTCACTCCTCCGGACTTCTCTTCCGAGGGTGTCCGAACTTTTCCGGACTGGGCTTCCTTCCCCTTTCCTCACTCTCCCGCCTTTTTTTCCTCGTCAGGTTATCGTGGAAAAAGCCCCCAAGGCCCGAATAGGGGACCTGGATAAGAAGAAGTACCTGGTGCCCTCCGACCTCACAGGTGAGAGACCCGGACAGGTGAGGGGGGAGAAGAGAGGCCCATTGACGGGAGGGGGGGGGAGGGGGGGGAGTGGGCGAGCTTATTCAAGGGGGTTTCCCCCCCCCAGGCCATGGGGGACCTTCCCCCCTTTTTAAGGGTCTCTCCCCCACCCGGTTTTGTGGCGCTCCCTCCTGTGTGACTTGGCTCTCCTCTTGGTGCCCTTTCCCCCAGTGGGCCAGTTTTACTTCCTCATCCGGAAAAGAATCCACCTGCGGGCCGAGGACGCCCTTTTCTTCTTCGTCAACAATGTCATCCCCCCCACCAGTGCCACCATGGGGCAGCTCTATCAGGTGGGTCTTCCCCTCCTTCCCCAACTGCCTTTTCTAGAAAGAGAGAGACTGAGAAAGAGAGAAAGGGGAGGGGGGTAAGAGAAAGAGGAGAGAGGGAGGGAGAAAGGAGAGGAGAAAGAGGAGAGAGGAGAGGTTAGAGAAAAAGAGGAGGAGAAAGAAGGAGAAAGGAGAGGTAGAGAGGAGGAGAAGGGAGAGAAAGGAAAGGGAGAGAGGAGAAAGAGAGGGAGAGAAAAAGAGGCTGAGAGGGGGAGGGAGAGAGAGGAGGAGATTGATTTAGCCTCAAATACAGTGCTCAAAAAAATAAACTGAACACATCCTAGATCTGAATGAATGAAATATTCTTATTAAATACTTTGTTCATTACATAGTTGAATGTGCCGACAACAAAATCACACAAAAATTATCAACTGAAATCAAATTTAGCAACCCATGGAGGTCTGGATTTGGAGTTACACTCAAAATTAAAGTGGGAAAAAAAAAAACCTACAGGCTGATCCAACGTTGATGTAATGTCCTTAAAACAAGTCAAAATGAGGCTCAGTGGTGTGTGTGTGGCCTCCACGTGCCTATATGACCTCCCTACAACGCCTGGGCATGCTCCTGATGAGATGGCAGATAGTCTCCTGAGGGATCTCCTCCCACACCTGGACTAAAGCATCTGCCAACTCCCAGACAGTCTGTGGTGCAACGTGGCATTGGTGGATGGCGTGAGACATGATGTTCCAGATGTGCTCAATTGGATTCAAGTCTGGGGAATGGGCGGGCCAGTCCATAGCATCAATGCCTTCGTCTTGCAGGAACTGCTGACACACTCCAGCCACATGAGGTCTAGCATTGTCATGCATTAGGAGGAACCCAGGGCCAACTGCACCAGCATATGGTCTCACAAGGGGTCTGAGGATCTCATCTCAGTACCTAATGGCAGTCAGGCTACCTCTGGCAAGCACATGGAGGGCTGTACGGCCCCCTAAAGAAATGCCACCCCACACCATTACTGACCCACTGTCAAACTGGTCATGCTGGAGGATGTTGCAGGCAGCAGAACATTCTCCATGGCATCTCCAGACCTTGTCACGTGCTCAGTGTGAACCTGCTTTCATCTGTGAAGAGCACAGGGCGCCAGTGGCGAATTTGCCAATCTTGGTGTTCTCTGGCAAATGCCAAACATCCTGCACGGTGTTGGGCTGTAAGCACAACCCCCACCTGTGGACGTCGGGCCCTCATAGAGTCTGTTTCTGACAGTTTGAGCAGCCACATGCACATTTGTGGCCCGCTGGAGGTCATTTTGCAGGGCTGTGGCAGTGCTCCTCCTGTCCCTCCTTGCACAAAGGTGGAGGTAGGGTTGTTGCTGGGTTGTTGCCCTCCTACGGCTTCCTCCACATCTCCCGATGTACTGGCCTGTCTCCTGGTAGCGTCTCCATGCTCTGGACACTACACTGACAGACACAGCAAACCTTGCCACAGCTCGCATTGATGTGCCATCCTGGATGAGCTGCACTACCTGAGCCACTTGCGTGGGTTGTAGACTCCGTCTCATACCACTAGAGTGACAGCACCGCCAGCATTCAAGTGACCAAACCATCAGCCAGAAAGCATAGGAACTGAGAAGTGGTCTGTGGTCACCACCTGCAGAACCACTCCTTTATTGGGGATGTCTTGCTAACTGCCTCTGCTTTCCACCTCTTGTCTATTCCATTTGCACAACAGCATGTGAAATTGATTGTCAATGTTGCTACCTAAGTGGACAGTTTGATTTCACAGAAGTGTGATTGACTTGGAGTTACATTGTGTTGTTTAAGTGTTCCCTTTATTTTTTTGAATAGTGTAGTTTGTCAACCTCAGTAAACAAATTGGCAAATGGTACAAAGGCAAAAAAAAATAAATCCTGGAGAAAATGAAAGCTTGGAAGGAGCCCCAACCTCTTAGCCGGGTCAAGTTCCCATCCTCCCTCAATCTTCCTGCTAAAAATTATCGACCAAGTATTTTCAAAATGGCAGAGTAATCTTGGTGTACTTCCAAAACTAATTACTATTTAATATTAGGAATAATAACACAAGTGCAGCCAATAAAAAGGTAGCAAAAACATAAAAGGGGGAAATAATAACCCTTATTGTGATATTTTACTGTTTCCTGCTATTTTTGACTAGCTAGGTTGCGTCAATTTCCCAATAAAATCCAACTCTGGGTGGGAGAAGGGTTGATGGGAGCTGTAGTCTTTGGGACTGAGGTAGGGCAGCAGGTGTATTTGTTGAGGGGGTGGGTTTCTGGGGAAGGGGCTTAAGACCATCTCTCAACCCTGCTAGTCACACAGGTGATTTATTTGGGGGCTGAGGGGGCATATTTGTCTTCCTCAAGATAAGGCAGTGTGTAAATTTTACAAATCTTATTATAGTTGGGTGGCTTGATCTGAGATCTTTCTCCCCTCCCCTTAAAAGTGCTTTGATCTAACAGCATCTCCCCCTCCCCATTTCAGGAACATCACGAGGATTTCTTCCTTTATATCGCCTACAGCGATGAGAGCGTTTATGGCAGCATATAAGACCCCCAAAGTCCACCAGCTGCCGCTGAGGGGCATCTTGCCCTGAAGGGACCTGCACTTTCTATTGTTACTTGTTAATTTTATGTTAAAAAAGGTGTTTTTCTTTTTTTGCTCCAGGAAAATGGAGTTATTTTTCTCTTTTTTTCCCCCCTCCCCACCCTTTAATTTCTGGCTATGAATCTTTAACTCTCTTCCTCTTTTAACTCCTTCCCTCCTTTTCTTTTGGTTTTCTTTTTGAGGTGGTTGTGGCTAAAATTAAATACCTCCCCCCTTGCATTGTCCCCTCTGTGCTTGATTGCTTTCTTTTCTCCTTTTTTTCCCTCTGTTTGAAAAAGGTCATCTGGAATATCTCTCCAAAAGCCACAAAGAAAACAAAAAAACCACCCCTCCCTGTTTTCATTTTTTTCTGATTTTTTTTCCTTTGCCACGTGTCCCGAGTTTTGCTTTTCATCCGGGAGGTGCGTTCACCTGGCAAGACTTCTGTAACCAGAGTTTTCGGAGATGGGAAATGAATGCTAATTAAAACAAAACAAAACAAAAGGTATATAAAGGAGAACGTGTGGGACTCTGGAGAATTATTTTATTGTCAAGGTTTTTAATACGGCAGGGACATTGCAACAATCTGGGACAGGAGTTGAATAAGGGAGAAAGGGAATGGAAAGAATGCCCTGTCCAGTGTATCTCAACCCATTGGAATTCCTCCCACATTCTGTTCCAGCCCTAGAAGGGGATTTGGTGGTGGTGGTGGGTCAAGCCTTAAGAACCTTCCAGAAATCAGGAGGTGCCTGATCAGTTTGTGAGTGGCTGCTTTCAATAAAGGAAAAAAGTGGGAGTTCAGTGCAAAACCAGGTTCCCTCTCGAGCTGTGCCTGAGCAAAGAGGGTGAAAGCCAACCAGCAGAAGAAAGGAGAAGAAAGGAGTCAGAAGGTTGCTTTTAGCAGTGCCCCAAGGCTACGTGGTTTGATTGGCAGGTGAAGGGCACTCCCCCTCCCAGGACTTGCATTGGGCTGCTCAAAGTGGCGACTTGTGGTCTTCCAACTCTTGGCCTGCTTACTCTCTTGTGATCCCTTCCTCTGTGATCTCGCCACTCTGGGAAGCTATGAAGAGGGGGTGGGGGGGAGAAACAGGCAGCTCTGAAAGGGGAATTCTGGGAGTTGGAAGTCCCACAAGTCTTGGAAGGTGCCAAGTCAGGAGACCCCCCTCCTACTCCAGGACAAGGAACCCGAAATTGCCTGTCTTAGCAAGTTTCATCTGCCCCCCCATCCTCTGTTTCTGATCTTTTGTGCCGTCCTAGTCTGGCTCTTGTGACTATTCTCTCAGTAACAAACCTCATCACTTTCAAGAAGAGATTGAACTGCCACCTGTCAGAAATGGGGTCTTCCGCTCCAGCAGAGGGGGGTTGGACTGGATGACCTCCAAGGGTGCCTTCCAACTCGGTGGTTATTCTGTTACTCAGAAATTGTGGGAGCTTCATCCCTGGAGGCTTTCAAGAAGACTTGGATTGCCATCTGTCAGAAATGGTGTACCCTCCTGCTTTGGTAGGGGGGTTGGACTAGACCTCCAAGGGCTCTTCCAACTCTGATGATCTGCTACCTGTTAAACCTCAACCCAGCCAATCGGGCAAAGACCGACAATTATCCAGCTAGCCAAACAAAAGAAAGAAAAAGGTAAAATAAAAAGACTTAAAAGTCTTTTTTAAAAAGCTGCTGCAGAGCCAGTGGCTGCATTCACACGACGACAGGCATGTCCGGGATTTTTGTTGTTGTTTCCCCTCCGCTCGCCCTACAGTCGTCTCGCCCAGAACCTCCCTGTAAAGGCAGCTCCTGAGCATGTCAAGAAAGCCGCTTGCCACGCGCGCAGGGGAGGGGGGGTTTCCCCTGTCTCGCGTGGCTTCTCGCCTTGGGGACTACAGCCCCCGTGATCCTCTCTCTCCCGCGCGCCTTTTTCCCCCCGCCCTCCCCGCGCCTTGCCTACGGGCCGAAAAGGCCGAGACTATATTACCCGTCGTGCCTCGCGGGGAGGAGGAGGGAAAAGAATGGTGAGTTTTTTCTTTCTTTGTAACGGAACCACGCAAGCGCGGCGCGCACGGCCTGCCTGGATCCGTAGTGGCGGCCGGACCCCATTGCGGCTGGCGAGACTCCACCTCCCGAGATGCACCGCGGTGGGGCATGATCCGAGCCGAGGGGAGGGGCGGCCGCTCCGAGCTTGCGGGCGGGAGGGAGGAGGAGGAGGAGGGCGGCGGCGGCGGCGGCTTGGCGAGTCCCCGGGGCCGGCCATGGCGGAGCCGAGCCCCGAAGGTAGGGAGAGGCCAGCCAGTCTGAGGGGCGGGAAACGAAAGGGGGGGCTGCTTTGGGGCGCGGGGAAGACCCCCCTCTCCGGTATGGGGGCACCAGAGGGAGGGGGGGCGGCTGAGGAGGAAACCGACTGGGGGGAATTGGGGAGGGGGG